ATTATGTTAAATATAATTATATATTAAGTACAACTATATTTATATATTCTTTAAATTAAGCTCATAATAAAAAGTAAACTCAAAATAAGCTCAGTATAAAATATTAAACATAACAAGCAGCATAATAACTAAACTTGATAAGAAAAAATCAAGTGTTTTTTTTGTGTGTAATAAACAATTTTTGATATATTGTTTGAGAAAGGTAAGAGTTATTTGATAATACACATAAACGAGTCAGTTCACTTTGTAGTTAATGTATATGTATTTTAATTTATAGTCTTAGAAGAATTCTGAGTATCTGTTTAGATTCAGTATCAGATTTTTTAACTTTTTTTTCAAGGAATTTTGATTACAAATTGAATCTAGATTGCAAATTGATTTATTTTTAGTTACTAGTTTGTTGTATAAATAAGGACCCCGATATGAAATTGAGAACTGGGAAAGTTTTGTTTTTTTGAAAGGTGTAATAAAGTTACCTTTTTTCTCTTGTGTTATATTTATTAACGTTATTTATAAAAAAGTTATTTAAAAAATGGTTTGGTACTTGACCTAATTTAAATTTTAGCATAAACAATATATTTTGGTAAATATTAATTTGATAAATACTAAGCATATTAATTTCTTTAAATAAGGGTTCAGTGTGTGTAATTTTGTCTTTATGGTAGATTAGTCTTACAGCATGTTTCTGACGTCGATATAAAGTTTTCAATTTGGTTATATGCGTACTCGCCCAAGCTATATTCGCATATATGAGGTAGCTATGTATAAAAGAGAAATATGTAAGTTTTAAATTACTTTTCGACAGCATAGGTTTTGCTTTATAAAGTAGACCTATGTTTTTTGATATTTTAGTGTTTAAAGCATTTATGTGACTTTTCCAAGATAAATTTTCATCAATTATAACTCCTAAAAATTTAGTTTCGTGAGTTCTCTCAATTACTATATTGTCTATTTTTAGAGAGGGTAGAATATTTGGTAGGGTGTTTCTTTGTTGGTTTGAGTGAAATAAAGTGTATTTTGTTTTTTCTATGTTTAGGGATAACTTATTTATTTTAAACCATATATTTAGTTTTTGGAGTTCTATGTTTACATCATCATACAGATCCTTGATGTTTGTCGAAGAGTAAAATAAATTTGTATTGTCTGCATAATATTCTCTTCCTGGTGCTGAGCGCGTACAATAGATGTTGAAATTTTTTGCCTGCATGTTTAGGCTGGCCAAGAGGTTTTTTAACAACTTGAAGCGAGTGCAACGGCCAAATAGAATTTTCTAACAGGTACATTGACGCAAAAATTGTTAACTCCTACTCGTGATGTTGTTAAGTATAATTCTGATGTTCGGGTAGCATCTTACCATTTGACAAATTTTGGGACTTTTTTCTACGAGTACTCACATCAAAACAGAAGTGAGTATTCTTAGCTTATCTCCAGGTTAGATGGTAAGAGCGTCATCTTGCATTTGTCGGGCTGCTGCATGACTTTTTTTTTTTAATTTTATTATTTAGGTGCCCCAAGAAAACCTATCAGTCTTGTCACAGAGTACCGCGGAAGTGCATTTAATACGTTCATTTCGAACCTCAATCTCCTACTTCTAAAGCAAGCGATCTAACCGCTGACTTAAGTTGGCCATCTGTAATAATTTTTCTTCGGATAGTCCGACAACAGAAGGTGAAGTATTAAGTACAGCAGCGTTTAAAGTTCGTGAAGGGCTTAAGTTGTGGTTATCAACAAGATCTTGATGACCGTTTATTCAGACGTGGATATTTTGAATATTTCTTTGATCTGATGACGAAGAATGCAATGGTATTGGTCTAACTGTCCTTACCGAGCATTTGTGCCAGGCTGGCCTTTTTTATGTTTAATGCCAAATGATTTCAGAGGGGACACAAAATCCCCAGCAAACTCAGACCCGCCGTTGCTTCTAATGGCAAGAATTGACGCTACTACGCCTTTGCTAATTTGTTTTGTTTAAAAATATATGTAAGGGCTTCGGCAGTTTTTGCCGAAAATGCTTTACTGAGGCCGCATGCGTTTACGTAGCGGCTGTTTACTTCTAGGAGAATTAAAATGCACTCTCTTTTTTTTGTTTAGACCAGCATAGTTTTTTAAATAAATAACGTCAGCAAGATATTCCTGCGAGAGCCTCCGGTAAGAGCAGAGAAGAAGACTAATTTCTTCGCACGGTTTTGGAGATTTTTTAATATTTGCGTGACGGGTTGATCTCGGAAAAAGATTAATACCAATTTGTAAGAAACTTCAACAGGTTTAGCAAGTGTATATTTTTTTATGTTTGCCATTTAATAATGTTAAACTTCTTGATTTAATTGTGGCGTGCTCTTGCAGGCTGACATTGTCAGCACGTCATTTGACAGTTTCCTTCAATGCGTGGTAGTTCATTTGCTTTTCTGTCAATACTCCAGTATTAAGGTCCAGTGGTTCGAAGCACACAGCGCATTGTATTTTTGTCAACACAGGGTAGATGCAACCCACTCTGGTGTAATTATTTTATTCCCAAATTGCTTGGCACGGCCTGCTGTTTAATCGGTGTTGATACGAGTTTTACAAGTGTGCGAATTACAGCGAACTCCTTTTGATCTTTAAACTAATATAATCTGGAGTGTGGTACAACAATTTACAGTAGTTTTCTGACCAGATGGATATCGAATTCATCTTGTTGGCTATATGGCTTTCCTCATTGTGTATAAATATTTTTTTGCCAAGGCTTAGTCCTTGCGCACTGTGGGTTGTTCTACAATAAGATCGTTTAAGGTATCGCTTTGCAGCTGCCAAAATTATTTTTCTTTGACTTTTATCTGAAGCAATTAAATTAAGAATATTTTTTGTCGACTTATGAAACATTGCCTCAGAAACAAAGGATCCGTGGTTCAAACCCCATCTCTGGGCGAATTTTGCGACATCGATTAGGAAGGAAGCGTGAACTTCCAATTAAATGCTCATCAGCAGTGCTCTGTGATAAGACCGTAGGGACTTCTTGAGGCACCTAAATAAACTTAAAAAACAACAACAAAAAACAATGTGACTTGCAATTCGACCGCCATGGCAACGAAAGCTGTTAAATCCTGCCCAACTGCGTATTTATCGATACTGGTTTCACCAATATGTGAATGGGCCCAATAGTCAACACCAGTCAATATAAAAATTTATTGAAATAAAAAAGTTGGAGGAGGGTATTTTTTTTTTTTTTGGGGGGGGGAATGAAAAAAGTACGTACTTTTGAAGGGGGATGGAGACTTAAAAGTACGCATGGCAACAGGGGGAAGGGGGTGTCAAATTTCAGAATTTTTGGCGTACGTACTTCATGGACGACCCCCTCATCCTGCTGTAGTTCTTGTCAAAAAAATGCTATCCCTGAATTTTTTGTCCACTTAGTTATTACATTCTAAAATAGTCATTGCTTTGTAGTTTTTACTTTTTTACAAATCAAAATAATGAAAAAAAGTCCAGTTCTATGAAATTTATTTACATTTAAAGTTATATCGTGCTGCAAGCATTTTTTATATAAAAATCAGAGACTAAATACCTTGTTTTAATAATGATATACTTATTCGCAGTCTACTCCGTTACGCTTTTTTATTCCGTAAAATATCAAATTTTTATATGACGTGTTTTAGAACTTTGGACAATAAAACAATAAATACGTTTTCAAATTAGTAAATAATGAGATATTATTGCTTATGTATACATATGTCTACTCCGTTACTGTCAACTCCGTAATTTCCTCTTAATAACGGAGTTGACAACAACATAACGGAACTGACTTCACGATGATATTTATCATCGTATAACACATGATCAAATGGCTTAGTTTAAATCTTTTGGTTTGTTTTAAAACAAATCAAAAGATTTAAACTAAGCCTTTTTTTTTTCTTTCTGCTTTGAATAAACACGTCAACCATTAGGGAAAAACTGCAGCGAAGAAATATGATTACCTTGCAGTGTATATATTACGCAGCGTTCTTTTACTTTCAAGCGATTGTAAGAAATAGAGTAATTTATTTAATTGTAAGTATTTTAGTATTAGAATTTCATTTATTGTTTGGTTTATATTTATATTTTACTCTAACAAGTTTGGCTTTTAAAATAAATGTATATCCTGATTCATTTTAATAATAATAATAATAAATAAACTTTTGGTGTATTACAATTACAATTATTATATTATTTTTCCAAAAGAAATACATCTATTCATATAACATGAAAACCTCAAAAGAAATATATCTAGGCATGAAACATGAAAATCTCAAAAAAATCTCTTGCTAAAATTCAGAAAGCGTTTCGGGACAGACAATTGTAAAAAAATGCAGACACTGTTCGTGAAAAAGAACGCAAACGTTTGCGTGAGCAAAAAAAGGTTAAAGTGATTTCAGAGTTATCAGAAAGAAAAAAAGGAATTGTTCGTTGTCGTTGGCGCAACCAGAAAGCAAAATCTAGAGCTGTAAGAAGGAAGATTGAAACGTCATCAGAGTCACCGGTAAGCGAGTTGAATAGCAATAACGAATGCAAACAAAGAGGTAGAGCAAAGGTTGCTTACCGAAAAACAAAGGTTTATAGACAAATACAAGCACTGATGGAGAAGTTGGAAGGCTTCAATGTTCCCTGCCTGGTTCACAAGCAAATTTACCTACAACCACTGAATCACCTAAAACCACTAACTCTTCTCTGTCATCAAAAAGTACAACTCCAAACAGCGAGGGCCATTGCGGTAATGCATCGCTTGATGTTGAAACACAGGATTTAATCAGTGAGTTTCTTACATGTGATGACAATTCTAGAATAACAACTGAAAAGAAACAGACTGTAACAAAAAATAAAGATAAAAAACAAAAGCGACTACTACTCGATTCATTAATAAACCTTTATGAAAAATTCAGCGCGGAATATACGAGAAACAATATTTCATATTCGACATTTACTAGTTATTGTTTAATTCAATAATTTAACTGCAATCTTCTAAACAAAAATGAAATAATAGTCACTTATCATTTACATTCACATTACAATCACATATACATTTATCAAGGTTTTTTAAAGTTGCTGGGATTAGGAGGTCTTAAAGAATGAATTTCAGTTAGGTTTCGGAGTGCATCTGGAAAGTAGTGCTTCATAGCATGTATCACAAACACGCACAGGTTTTGCAGAGGACTTTAGAGCAAGAGTATTGTCCGAGCATGAATGACAGAATATCCCACCACAGTTTCGACAATGGTGCTACAAAAAAGTATAAGTTTTTTTTACAGATAACTCTGTTAATATTATTTTAAATAACACACACACACACACACACACACACACACACACACACACACACACACACACACATACACACAAAAACACGTTAGTGGAATAATCTTTAACAATAAAAAACAAATAAATCAAAGCTAATTTAAAAATAAAAAATACTTTTCGTTTAGATAGTGAAAACTGCTGTATGCAAAGTTGACATTCATTGGCATCTTTATCTTCTTGCCATAGCTTATCCTAAAAGTTATTTAATAAATATTACTGATAGTTTAAAAAACTACAAAAATATAAAAACTAGAATAACAACTGAAAAGAAACAGACTGTAACAAAAAATAAAGATAAAAAACAAAAGCGACTACTACTCGATTCATTAATAAACCTTTATGAAAAATTCAGCGCGGAATATACGACAAACAATATTTCATATTCGACATTTACCAGTTATTGTCCATTTTTTGTCCACAAACCGTCTGCTAAAGATAAAGACACATGTCTGTGCAAAAACACGAGAGCATACAATTACTTTAGTGATAAACTTATTAGCCTGAGTGTTTTGAAAGAAAAAAATATTGAAGAAGTAAAGAAACAAGTTTGTGGTAGTACTGATAGAAAAGAATGCATGTTCAGAGAATGTAACATTTGTTTGGACTATCGTGTTCAATTTCAAGCAAAAGGATTGCTAAAAAATGAAAGTATTCTAGTTTGGTTCCAGTGGGAAAAATAGAAACAGGAATATGAAAAGAAGGGAAAAAAGAAAACAAATGTTATCAGGAAAAGTGTAAAGCGAAGAAAGCTTAAAGATATTAAAGGAAAATTCTGTAAATCAATTAGAAACAAGCTATGCAAGCATGTTTTTACAATGAAACATTAGTTCAGAATGTACAAACATTTAAAAAAAACAGTAAAGGTGAATGAAGCTATTATACATATAGATTTTTCTGAGAACTATGTGGGCAATAATTTTGCTGAAATTTAATCTTTACATTTTGGAGCAAGTAACAAACAAGCTACATTGCACACCGGATTAATTTATAAAATGAATAGACATCAGTCATTTACAACTATATCCGACTCTTTGAGATACGATCCTCCTTCTATACGGACAAATCTGGAACCCGGCAAATTAAACTCAAGTTAGATAACCCACAAATTACAGATCTTCATTTTTTTTCTGATGGACCAAGCACACAATATAGGAACAAGCAAAACTTCTTCTTATTCTCAACAATGCTATACAAATTAAAATTTCAATTAACCAGTTGGAATTTTAAACGATTACCAATTTCAACATTTAAGCATCAATACCATTGATCTATTTAATTTCAATGAAAATTTCAATATCTTGTTGATTGAAGCAAATTATGTCGTGAGCGATCACGAATTTCTTCACATTAATGATGTATGGTAATGATTGGTATTCCAGTAACGGAGCGGACAGTATTTGTACAACTTAAAATCGAAAAGATTTTCTGTCGAGTTAGTTTTTTGACTTTTTATTTATATATAAGATTTTCCCTTTAATCTGAAATGTAACTTAGACTATTTTGCTTTTAAATAATAAATAATTAGCAAATATCAGTAACGGAGCAGACATTGTCATATAAAATAAATATTTTATGTCAATAAATTTGGGTAATAAAGTTTACATGTATGCTGTAGTTATAATACCAAATTTATATTTATTTCATTACAAAAATAGAATTTGATACAAAAATAATAATAATAATTCACAGATATAGTTACATTGATGTTACGGTAACGGAGCGGAAAAAATTATTGGGACTCATTACTTGACAATATCCAAAAACAAAAAAAAAAAAGTTAAGTGCAAAACCAAATCTATTTTTTACATCCCTAATGATTAAACTTGAAATATTTGTCAAAGTTTCATAGATAGCGCAAACTTTATTTTCATGCAACATTAGTTGCGACAAAACCGTTTAATGAGAAATTGACTCAAAATTAAAAGCAGAAATTTTTTTTAACCGAATCTAATCTCACTAGCAGCTGTAATTTCTAATATTTTTTGCTCAATTTCTATTATTGATTTAGTTAATATTTTAATAAAATATATTTGTTGAAACTTGTTGAAGGTGTTAACTAACTAAAGGTGCTTTTCATCGAAACGCTGAAAATTGATTTCTAGGACGTATACGTTTGTGTATTTGCGATTTTTTGGGTAAAAGGTCATAAGCATTGATAATGATTTTTAGAGTTATTAAATTTATACTTAAAAAATTTACAAATCTCATTTTACATACTGTAGCATACATTTCCTATTTTTTTTTTTTATTGAGCTCAGTTTAAAATCAAATTTAAATCAATATTTTAACTGCACTCTTCTAAACAAAAATGAAATAATAGTCACTTATCATTTACATTCACATTACAATCACATATACATTTATCAAGGTTTTTTAAAGTTGCTGGGATTAGGAGGTCTAAAAGAATGAATTTCAGTTAGGTTTCGGAGTGCATCTGGAAAGTAGTGCTTCATAGCATGTATCACAAACACGCACAGGTTTTGCAGAGGACTTTAGAGCAAGAGTATTGTCCGAGCATGAATGACAGAATATCCCACCACAGTTTCGACAATGGTGCTACAAAAAAGTATAAGTTTTTTTTACAGATAACTCTGTTAATATTATTTTAAATAACACACACACACACACACACACACACACACACACACACACACACACATACACACAAAAACACGTTAGTGGAATAATCTTTAACAATAAAAAACAAATAAATCAAAGCTAATTTAAAAATAAAAAATACTTTTCGTTTAGATAGTGAAAACTGCTGTATGCAAAGTTGACATTCATTGGCATCTTTATCTTCTTGCCATAGCTTATCCTAAAAGTTATTTAATAAATATTACTGATAGTTTAAAAAACTACAAAAATATAAAAACTATTTGATGTGTGAATATTATATTCGTACAAATTTGGGGGTGTAAAAATTATAATTGATTATGTTTCAACAGTGCTCAAGAGGTAATTTTGACTGAGATTGACAGTACAGACGAAAAAGTTTGAGGATATTGATTTAAAAAGCAAAATCGCTTTCCATAATTTAAGAAATTTATTTCAAGAATTAAATCAAGAAAAATATTTGTTTTAAGAAATAAAATACGGGGCAGGAAATTTGTTTCTTAAAACAAAATCTTTAATTTTTGTACTAAGATTTATAGCAAAATCGTAAATCTATGGTCCAAAATTAAAAATTAATTCTTAAAACATTAAATATATTTCTTATTTTGAGAAATAAGTTGCAGGGTTGAGGGATTTATTTTTTAATAAGAAAATTTAATAAGTTAACTTGCTGTGTAAATGATGTAAAAGATAATGTAAACCAAAGTTAACTTGTAAAAAAAGTTAAATTGCTGTGTAAATGGTGTAAAAGATTATGTAAAACGCAAGAAAGATTGTTAGGGGTTGATCATTTAACAATCGCTAAATATTTACATAGCATGTCTTTATTTCACGGCAAAGAAATATTACAACAGAAAAAAACAGAAATGTTTTTTGCACTGTTTAGTAACTAGCAAGTGGATCCATTACAACAATTCAAAGTGTTAAAAATCATAAGTTAAGTCAGGACAACCATCAACATTGAAAACAAAGCCAAATATTTATGGATCCAATCTTATGACCTGTACTCCGTGAAACGGAGTACGGATTTTGGTTGTAGTCAAAAACAAAACCTAATATTCATGGTCTGTATTTTGTGGGACTAACTTGGTGTAGTGAACTAACTACACCAAGTTGGTCTATATTTTGTGGATATCAATCATTTACAATCATTTACAAGAACTTGTTAAAAAACAAGTTCTTGTAAATGATTGTAAATGATTGATATCCACAAAATAACTATCAATCATTTACAAGAACTTGTTAAAAAACACAATTGATAACTTCAATCTAACCACTGAGGAAAAAAATCTCTAACAACAAATTTTGTCTAAGACAAAATTTTCCAGCAGAACATTTTTGCATTAAAAAATATATTGCTGCAATAACAAAAATGTTTTTTTACTTTATTTATAAAAAAATTAACAGAAATATTAGTATTATTTAAATTCTATTAAATATATGTTATTTGAAACCAACACAAAGTTACACCAAAGTAACAGCAGTTAATAGAAATTTACAATAAAAAAAAAAAGAATTTTATATTAAAATGTTTTTTATTCTTTTCTCTGTCACTATATTTTATTATAAATTTCCATTTAAAAAAAAGTTTACTTTCATTGCAATCTGCAGCTCTCTCATTTCATCAACTTGGGAATGCGACCTAAAAATAATAAAAAAGTTTTTAATACAAAAAAGAGAAAGCAGATACTAACTTTGCAATTGATTGTATTTATGATTTCCATGGTTTCATGAGAAGTTCGTAGTGGATGATAATCCAAGAAAATGTAAAAAAGCGAACTCAAAATGAGAATTGGCATTTATTAATATAGAAATGTGAACAAAATTATGATACTTGTTTACAGTAAATAACTGGGTTTTGTTGGTTTTAAAATTCACAAGTCATTGCAAATCCCAAGCTGTTACAGAAGTGAGATCATATTTAAGCTGTCTGTTTTAAGCGATTGAAAAGATAAGACGTTTTATCAAGACAGGAATATAATTTTAATCCATCAGGAAATAGAGCTACTTTAGATATAAGACTATCAGGAAGAACATTGATGTAAATAAGAAACGATACAGGATAGAACCCTAAGGTACCCAAGAAGTTACTGGTACCCCAGAAGTTACTGGAAATGAAGAAGAGTGTTTTTCTTAGAATATGACTTAAATACTGCAGTTTGAAGAATTATGTCTTAAAAATTTTCCACATACACCATATGAAGCAAGCTTATGAAAACTTTATAGAAAGCTATAGATATGTCAAGATCAGCAGCCATTGCCTCGCTGACTACATCTAATGAACAATGGAATCTTTAATAAGTCAGCTGTAGAACAAGATAACCAAGAGAACCATATTGATTGTCAGAGTATAAGTTATGACTTAAGATGGAATGTTGGAAACATATTTATTAAAGACTCAAAGACCAATATTAATATTAAATACCATAAAATGGGGTTACTTGGGTCAAATATAAAACATCTTACCTAATAATGTTTAATGCATAATATCTACAGGATTGGGTATTATATATTATAATAATCATATTAAGACCTTTTTTACTCTTGCAAATGTAAATTGTGGCATAAAATTATTGCCATAATTTTGAATCATTTTGTACCTGACTCAAGTTAAGCTAATTTTTGGGGTTACTTAGGTCAGTTTAGGTCATTCATTTAAATCTGTCAAAGACATTAAAAAGTGCAGAATTCAAAAATATATTTATAAAACCAAAATAAAAAAAACAAAATTTACTTCCTATAAAAATTATACCCAACAAATAAATTTGAAATTTCTTTCATGAAATAAGTCCAATACTTATTTACTTATAAGTTTTTCATTTCCATTCATTTTTGTCAATGTTAAACTTTAAAAGTCATCTTCTTTGCACTTCATTTCCAGTATTCCCACAATGAAGTCCTCATTCCAGTATTCCCACAATGAAGTCCTCATTCCAGTATTCCCACAATGAAGTCCTCATTCCAGTATTCCCACAATGAAGTCCTCATCTATTACAATTTGTCTTTAACTGTAGGCCAAATAAATTCATTTTCTGTATTCCTAAACTAAAAGGGCAACAAAATAGTAGTAAATTGTAGGAAAATATTTAGGTAGATAATTTTGAATCAAAGTAACTCTGATTTACTTGTAGTGTCTCATGAAACTTCATATTTTTGAATGCCTCTGCTTGTACCTGGCTGAATGCTTTGAATTTTTCCAATAAAGTATTTGACTCCTCCATTCTCCATAGGTATTTTTGTTAATATGAAAAAAACCTTCAGTATATTCCTTTTGATTGTATATCCCTGTGAAGGTCCACCCGGAATTTTTTATATCAGCAATATTTTGATCCTCGCCATCTGAAAGCCATAAAAACTGATTTACAAGAGACTTTTTTTTTTCTTTTTATCTGGTTAGTCAATTTCACTTGCGCCATCAATCTTATCTTTAGTGAATCTTTGATTTTTCAAGTACTTAATTAATTCCTTATTTAGATTTTGGTTAATGTCAATCAAATTCATAGCTCTATTATAAATTGGAAGTACTTCTGGTTCTAATGATGACAAATCAGGCAGTTGTCTAAGTATAATACCCCTAGATATAGGATGTAAACCAGACGTTTAAAAATCCTGCTTTAATGTTTTTACTCATATTTGGAGATTCTTTCATAAGATCCTTTAATTGATATGGAAATATGTGTTTAGGTAAGTTCTTTAAATTAAATGATTGTTTCTTATTCAACAAAATTTGCCTCCAAGCTATTTTCATGGGTCTAAATACAGCTACATCTAAGGGCTGCAGCAAATGGGTAGAATTTGGTGGAAGGAAAATAAATGATATATTGTTTTTTTCACACTTTTGAATCATATAAAACAGATGGCTAGATAAGTTATCTCTAATTAGGCATTTTTTGCCTGGTAGATTGCTGAAATATTTTAATGGAACATTCATGAACCAGTCTTCAAAGCACGTTCCGTAAAGATAAGCCATGCCTTTTGGCAAAGCTATAGCATTAATCAATTCCTGGAGTATTATTTTTAAATTGCCTAATGTTTTTTTTAGTTTTATCTAAATATTTTTTGACCCATTCTATCAAATCATGGCAGTCTAATAGATATCCCTAATTACAACCAATTTATAATTTTTGAACTAAGGCAGCTTCTTCTTCATTACTAAGTGCACAAGGTTGGCCATAAGATTTATGAGACTTTTTACATTTACTTGATCTTCTTAGTGTTTCTCTTGGTATCTTAAATTCTATTGTCGCCTACCTAATTGATTTTCCCTTATTAATATCTGTCAAAGCCTTCTCAACCATTTCATAAGAATAATTGGAATATTGTCTTGCACCTGTCTATTGTATTTCCTTGGCATCTAAAAATGAAGGAGTTTTACATATTCAAATTATTTTTGTCACAAAATATTGATGTGAGAATTAAGCAGTACTAACTTAACAAATAAAATCAAATATAGTCTGAACAAGTTTATATGATATAATTATCTTTATAAATTACTATTACAAAAAAACTGTTTTAAAAATTTTGAATAAATGTTGACCCAAGTTACCTCGAAGGCCTCATTTCTTAGAAAATTAATTTTTTCTTAATCACCTCAATTATTACAGTTATAATATTGCAACATATGATATAAATATTAGTACTAGTAAATTCGAGGTATATAACCTTTTTCTTCTATAATGCTACTGTAAAAAATATTTAATAAAGTTTTACCTTATAAAATTTTATTCAATTTTAGTGTAAACAACTTTGAATAATTTTATTGTTGTGTTGCTAAGATTTTGTGACAAAAGTGCATTAAAACAAGCAATATGTTTACTACTGTTACCGCTGAGTTAACACCATATAGATTAAAAGCCATTATTACCCATTATTTAAGACCTCAAAATTTGACCCAAGTAACCCCACTTTCTTCCAAAGAAGAAGTGATAGATGAAAGATTTATAGAGACTATTAAATGTTTGGAGCCACATAAAGGAGAATAAGAAGGAAATAAACACAAGCTAGAGTCAGATATAAAACACGAATAAAGGAGTCAAGGTAAGTGATTAAGGCTGTCTTGAAAATAAGTCAAAAAGTTAACTATTTGAGTACGAGTTCAAAAAATAGAGAAGTTTTGGGCTTTAGTGCCAGCAGGTTCAGTGGTGCTAAAGCCAAGCCATTCCATGTGATAACCATTGAAGTCACAAATAACATCAATGGCAGAGAAATAAAAAGAAAAGGCACAGCCAATATAATCAGAACTTACATATAAAAAATTTCAGTCTTAAGACTTATTTATATGTATATAATTTTTTATATGTAAAAATGATAAAAAACAAAGAGAAAGTTGATAGAGTAAAGAGGTGCTAAGTGGATCACATTAAAGAATGGTCAGAAGGTTTAAACCTGAATCAGGTTTCTTCATAGCTAACCACTCTGAGATCCAGAGAATAAACGGCTGAAATTAAATTGGTCTCACAAAGAGCAAGCAAGTCTAGTGAAAAGAGATAAGATTGAACTGATAGAAAGTTACTTCAAAGACCACGAATATTTGTCATAGATATTTTGAAACAGTTAGATGGCAGTGTTGTTCAATACTTTTGGTTAGTTTAGGCTTGCTTTAAGTTAAAAAGAACTTGACTCATTTATAGATAGAGCACAGCATCCCAAGCAATAAGCTATGCAGTTTGTATGCATTTTGTTATCATTGTTGTTTTTATTGCCACTATGTATTTTGTTTGTCATTGTTGACCAGCGTTCAAGTAGTTCTATTGAATTATCTCTGATAACAAAACCAGAATTTCTCAACTTGTGATAGCAATTGCTTCACTCTCACAAATTTCTATTTTTATTTCATCATCAGCAAAATCTTTTATATCCTAAAGCATGCGATCTAAGCATTGGCACTCTTTTCAAGCATTTTAAATCATATACACTTGCAACCTGAGTTTTCTGTGAGATGCTTGGTTTTCTAAAGTTTTTGCTGATACAGCAAAACTTGCCTTGATGCTTGCCTTCAAAGTTTTTGCTGATACAGCATCCAATGATCTAACAAACATGGCTTCAAGGTTGCAACAATGTTCAACGTTGAACTTTTGAGGTTGTTTTATCAGCATCAATATATTTAATCTGATGTCTTACAACATTTGTATGAAACAATCCATTAGTTCGTTCCTCACCATGTCACTGGTAGTACTACGCTCAACTTGTTTCTCTGCGCAGCAACCTTGTTTGTCAAGGTTTGTGTTTTGGAGTTATAAATTTGTGAGAGAGTTGTAACCACAATTATAGTACCCTACTCTACTTTAGCAGGCCTCTCAGTCTTGGGGAGGTGAATTAAAAAAAAATTACCTTTGTGTGATACTTTCCTTCAACCAGCATGGAGCTTTGCATCAAGCTTTCTTATATAATTAGAAAGATTTCAATCAGTGCATGTTCCAAAATAAATCCTGGATTTCAAAGAATCAATCTAGGATTTATTTCTAGACATGTACTGGCAAAATAAGTGTTTGACACCTTTAAAACATTGTAGTTTTTCTTCTTTTTCAATTATTAACATGGGTTGCATTTCACCAAAGCTATTTCCTGCTATTAGGCCTAACAAATGAACTTTTTATGCTGTTAAAAAAATTAACCAAATTCTTCAGCATTATAAATATCCCTCTGCTCATTGGCAAACACATTTGCTACCAACTTGTTGATATTTCCTCAGAGCATGACCTTTCCTAGCCAAAAATAGTTGAAAAAGCAACATTATGCCCACTTTCCTGCCAAACTACCCCATTGTTATGAATTCTTAAAGGGAAACAAGTTCATACTTTAAGTTAACCTTATAAAATAAGAGTTTATTAAACTTACCAAAACAAATTATTTATTGAGATATTAAGAAAAAAACCTTCATCATTTTTAACGCCATACTATTTTTGAGAAGGAAAGTTCTGGGCTGTTGATTTTTTTTCTTCAAAGAAACCTGGTTTTGTTAAAGTGTTTTTTTTTGACATCAATTAAAATAAGTATTGTTAGTAAAGTTTAAGTATATTTTAATGTTTGGGTTTTCTCTTTTTTTAATATTTATATATATAATATATATATATATATATATATATATATATATATATATATATATATATATATATATATATATATATATATAAATATAACATATAATAAAGCTTTTTTTTACAAAAAAGAATTTTAATAACAACTTGCTAACTTGATATTGCTTATATAATTTTTTTTTAACTATAAAAATTTCTAAGAATACTCTGTTAGTTTAATGGAGTGAGTTGAATATGGCTGCAGGTTGTTAAAAACAAGTCCCTTTAATAATAAAAAAAGCATAAAAATAAATTTGTTAGTGAAAATGAAATACTGTTATTATTTTTTTTTAAATTAAAGTAGTTATTAAATATTTGAAAGTAAATCAAAAGATATAATTGAAACCACAATCTTAAAGAAATTGAGAAAATCATCAAAAGAGACTCATGCTTATTTGTAAAAAAGTGCTTAAATAATGAAAATTTTACTAATGACTTTGAAACCATTAAACATAAGATATGTACCAGACCAGGCATATTGTTGCGACTTCCTAAAATAAAACTTGACAAAAAACTCTTTTTACTTTGCAGAAGCAAAACTTTTTCTAATGTCTGAAAGTTTACTTTCGGACATTGGCAGAACTATCATTATTTAAAAAAAACTAAACAACCACATTTTTTAAAGCAGCATTAACATACACTTTAACATTTTAATACCTTTTATACTTTTTGTTAGTTTCAGATAATTATAATTTCTGTTTACTGTTTACGTTTTAGTTTTTAAACAGGACACATGTTGATAACAGTTTTTATAACTGAAAGTGTATATCTTGTATAAATATAATTTTAATAAAGAAATAAAGAAATAAATAAATAAAAGTTTAAATTTTAAAAAAGAAAAGTCAGATCAAAGTTTAAATTTTAAAAAAGAAAAGTCAGATCAAAGTTTAGTTACATTTTTCATTTTGTTAAGTGACATATGAGAACTAAAACACTTTATAAAAACTAATTAAAAAAACAAGAACACATTATTGAATAAAAAACCCAGATATTTTGATAATTACAGAATTTTAAGCCAAAATTAGGCTTACAAAAAGGAAATATAACAAAATTACAAAGAGGCTGAAGTTTTCTCCCTGATGATGTAACAATTAGTACAGGTTGATAAACATCAACAAATTATGTTTTCCAATATTCAACTTCTGTCTCTTAACTTCAAAATAACTTGTACTTGCTTATTATGTCTTTCTAATATTTAGTTAAACATTTTTACTTAGTCAGATCAATATTACAAGACTGTAAACTTAGGAGATAACAAAGGTATGAGAATCACTTGTTAACTACAATTCACTGGATGTAAACTGTAAGATAATAAATACAACACAAGAACTGATTTGTAAATTGTCTTTTGTGTGAACAAAATTGGAATTTCATTTAATTACTAATATTTTCAAATAATAAGTGTTTTCAAAAAAACTTTTTTGTCAAATGAGAACAAAAAATCAATTTATTCTTTTCTTTTTTTCTTCTTTTTTTATTTTTTGATTCTGACAATATTTATTACTTTATTTGCAACATTTTAAACAAAAATAAATAAATAAACTTTAAATCATAAGATTGAAAAAGAAAGAAAAAAAATCCTTTATAGTTGTTTTCATGTTGTTTGTTGCCAAACAACAGAAAAATGAAATATTTTTAACAAAAAATTAACTCTTACATATTAAGTTTCTTGCCCATTTCTTCTAGAGCCTAATTAAAAAATAAAAAATAAAACAAAAATTTGCATCATAATATAATAACCCTCTACCATTGAATTTGTTTTATTTGCATTGTATATTATTTATTTATTTGCAACATAATATTTGTTATTTATTTGCAAAGTATTTTCTTTACTTTTATAAATTTTAACATTAATACACTACTTGCTAACAATTTTTTTTCGAATGAACACAAGTAAATTTTAGTAAGATATTTTTGAATGTTAATAAAAATTGCTCAAAATTTTAATTAAAATGTGAAATATTTTATTACAAACTATATGTATTCATTTTCAAGCAATTAAATACAACCAATGTATATAACAGTTATGGCCAAAAAGATTCAACCAATCATAATTACTATAGTCAATTACCTTTATATGCAAAAAATGCATGCTGGAAACATGCTAACAGTCCCAGGTTGTTTGGGTTGAACTTAAATACATTGTATATTTATTGTAACTATCAACCAAAAAAAAGAGAGTTGCTTATATGCTCTCTATATAAGATTCATTGCATAAAGTCAACAGCTGGAATTGAGAGAAATTATGTGGAAGACCAAGAATTACTTAAAAAAGAAACAACATGACATTTGGTTGTTTAAAACATGACATTTGGTTGTTTAAAACATGACATTTGGTTGTTTAAAACATGACATTTGGTTGTTTAAAACATGACATTGGGTTGTTTAAAACATGACATTTGGTTGTTTAAAACATGACATTGGGTTGTTTAAAACATGACATTTGGTTGTTTAAAACATGACATTGGGTTGTTTAAAACATGACATTGGGTTGTTTAAAACATGACATTTGGTTGTTTAAAACATGACATTGGGTTGTTTAAAACATGACATTTGGTTGTTTAAAACATGACATTTGTTTGTTTAAAACGAGACATTTGGTTGTTTAAAACATGACATTTAGTTGTTTAAAACATGACATTTGGTTGTTTAAAACATGACATTTGGTTGTTTAAAACATGACATTTGGTTGTTTAAAACATGACATTTGGTTGTTTAAAACATGACATTTGGTTGTTTAAAACATGACATTTGGTTGTTTAAAACATTTAGTTGTTTAAAACATGACATTTGGTTGTTTAAAACATGACATTTGGTTGTTTAAAACATATAGATTTAAAGATTTAATTTCAATAGCCTCCTACTAATAACTTCAATAGTGTGAATGTTATTGCCTTGATTGCTATTGCATATTGTCTTTCAAGATTAAATTCTTTGTTAAAACAATGTTAGTGATTGCCCCAAATTTTAAAAAGAAAACAGGAATTGGGTTGTCAAAATTTGGCAAAGTAAATGTGATAATCTAAAGTGCAAGTGAAGCAATTTGCAGCACACACTTCTCTGATTCCTGATACAATAGCACCTTTTGTTAAGCAATATCTAGAAATTTGGGGTGTAATCGCTGCAGACAATCATGTTGGTTAACATATTTTACAAATTGAGACAATTTTAAATCTAAAAGTTATAAAAAACAATCTATCTAACTGGTTTTGAATAAAAATGTTTGATATTTTTATGCAAAACGGAGCAACTTGTAATCATGCAAAAATTGTCAAGACATGGCTCCAAGAAAATTAAATTAATGTTCTTGCTGGCAATATATTCAAATTTCCCTATATATATTGGGTAATCAGATCTTTTTAGCCATAGCTGTATTTGTTTGAGTGTGTGTGTGTGTGTATATATATAAATATATATATATATAAATATAAATATATATATATATATATATATATATATATATATATATATATATATATATATATATATATATATATATATATATATATATATATATATATATATATATATATTTATATATATTGTGTGTTTAGATAAGCAATTTAACATTACACTGAAATAGCCATCTACTAGGGAAATTCAGTACATACATCTACCAACTAAATAGGGGTCACGTGTTAAAAATGCCTTTACATTGACAAGTTCGGGATTGGGGCTGCAATCTTTTTTTCATTATTCTATGTTTTTTTCCTTAGTTTTCTGAAAAAATGGTATAAAAAAAGTAAACAGTATTTTTTGATCTTACTTTTTGATCCTTTTTTTTTTGCTTCCAGTTACTACTTTCTCCTTTCTTAAAGATAAGCAAGGTAAGTGAAATGGGTAAAAATAAATGTAAAACAAATAGAATTTTTACCGTTTCTAACTCAGCACAAGTCTTTTCACTTTCAAGAAGTTTTTTTTTCATAGATTCATTTTCCTAAAAACAAAAACAAAACATTATTTGTACACTTTAAAATGAAAGAATAGTTTAGTTTTTTGAAAAACCCTTTGTTTTATCAAAAAAATGGTAAAATCTAATTTGATTTTTGAAAATCCAATTAATTTTATGCTACTATGTTTTTTTTTAAAAAAAAAAAACTTATTTGGTTCAATAAGCTTTGGCCAACAGCTTTATACAACTTTTTCTTATTATGGTTTTTGGTTAAACTAACTATTTTGGTTTTTCAAACTGAAACAGGTTTCAAACTGGGTTCAGTCTGAAATTTAATATAATATTATAATAAAATAAAAAGAAAAGATTTATATAAAGGTTTTTACATTTTGTTTTTATTTTGCTCATTATTTAAGCTTACTCAAAACTGACTTATTTTAAGCTATAAGTTTTTAATAAATAATATAAATTAACTATAAAAGTATGTAATAATAAAATAATAAACATTAAACTTAAAATTATTGTGTAAAACACAGTATCATAGCTGCACCATGTGAAACAAAAACACATTGTGAAGCACCATGTGAAACAAAAACACATCTTTTTTGGATAAGAAAATTCCATATTTTAGTAGTGTTGCACAGTGTTTTCCATTTAAAACACATTACAAAGACTTTTTAATGTGTTATTTTTGTACAGTATTTAATCTAAAATTTACAGTTTTATTTTTAAGAATCTTATGAAGTACGGATGATTATACCAAATCAAACCAAATAATGTGTTAAAATGTCAGCATAACCAACACATAGTCAAGTTCATAAAAAAATAATAATACATGCATAATATTTTTCTTTGTATATTACATTTTAATACAACACTTATTTGATAACTAATGATCAATAAAATTAAAATTAAATATAAACAATAAATATAAACAATAATAAAAAATAAATATAAATATATCAAATAAATAAAATTAAAAAGAACTTTTGTTGACAATCTTTCAGTAAAAATAAAAAACAAAAAACATGAATTTCTTTTTCTTTTTTATGCAGTAAACTGCCATTGAAACAGACCCTCGAAAGAAATGTGTATACAATTTGACTCAATTAAGCAAATAAAAATTTGTATTTAGGGGAAAAAAAAGAGTATTATCAATTTAAAATTCTTAATATTAAAATGGTATAATTATCTGTAACCAATACTATCGTACTTTTTGTAACCAATACTATACTTTTATATTTATCAATACTATACTATCGTACTTTTTGTAACCAATACCTTACTTTTTCATGCAAAACTCTATTTATATCTTATTCTCTGACAAACTCTTTAAATAGAACTCATTCAGCTTTTTTTTGTGTGCCTAGTAACAAGCATAAAGTATTTTTGATCCCTGTAAAATATAGATAATGGTAAACTACCAATAATGATAAACCTATAGGCATTGTTTGAATAAGCAAAAATGGTGCTTTTAAAAAAAATCAAAGAACACCTTGGAAAATCAAAATGGAGTATTATAAACTATAATCCAACTCAAAAACTCATTTGCAAGGTTTAGACTACTTTTAAAAATCTGAAAAGAAAATTGATAAAAAATCAATATAGATCTATATACCCAAGTGTGACCACAAAATAAAACGTATAGTAAATAGAATAGGGTCACCAACTTATATGTTATTCAAATATTTAGTAAACTTATAAGTTATTCAAATATTTAGTAAATCTTACTCCAGCTACTTTTAATCTTGACAAAACAAAACAACTGAATGTTTTCAATCCCAATGAATTTCAAGTTTTTTTGGATTTTACTTTAACTTTACTCTTCAATATCAGTTAAAGAACCAAATAATATTTTATTAAAACCTTAATTCAAAGTTATTACTTTTCAAAATAAAAATACTTTTAGATTTGTGTTATTTAAAAATGTTATAAAAAAATAAAAAACTGTTATTTTTTATTTAAAAACAACATACACACATTAAAATATGCTTGTCCTATAGGACAAGCATATTTTAATGTGTGTATGTTGTTTTCAAATAAAAATGTGTGTTGTTGTTTTCAAATAAAAAATAACAATAAATATGCTTGTCCTATATAACATTACTGGTAGTAATGACGGATAATTTTTTGCAACATGAAAAAAAGTTTTAATATAGGCACAATTTCTTACACCAACATATTATGTAAAATCACTTAAAAAGTATGGTACTGGTTCCCATTAAATACCATTCCCAGTTTAATAATGAGGTAGAATCAGAGCTTTTTCTTCAGTTGTAAAACAATCAACACACACAATAAACTTTCTTGATATCTCAGTAACAAATAAAAAAATCCCAAAAATTGGGAGGTGATTATTTTTAACATCTCATGCAGGATCTTGGAGCTGATGGCAGTACAGTTGATTTATTAAGACTTGCCAATTACTTTTGTAAAGCTGTTGGAGATTTTAAATTAATCAATACACATTCCTCTAATTTTTCTATAAGGGTAGTTAAACCAAGAAATTTGAGTTGTTTTTTTTATTCTGACTCACTCCCAACTTAAAAAGGCTGCAAGTAACCACTTTTAAGTTGGGAGTTACTAGAAAAAAAAAAAGTTATAGAGTTAAGGTCTTGATTAATAATTAAGTTTACACAAAAATAATTAAGTTTACACAAACATAATTAAGTTTACGCAAACATATTTAAATTTACACAAAGCAGGGACTAGTTTTGTAGCTTGTCTTTGAATTCTTTCAAGATTTTTCCTGTAAGGATTTTATGCCCAAAAAAAAATGTTTGAAGACGAGGTCTTACAAAGGATGTGTACATAATCTTAAATGATTTAACATTCCAATAAATGAAAGTTTGTTTAAGCATTCTAAGAATGGAGTTAGCTTTTGACGTGGTATATTGGAATTGGATTTCCCATTTTAAGTTGTTTATAATAATAATACCAAGATCATGCTCAGATACAGTTCCCTGTAATTCTTGATCATTTATCTTATATTTATGTTTGTAAATGTTACTACTTGCTTTTTTTCTTATATAAATAACTTTACATTTATCATTATTAAATTTTATATGTCAGTTATTAGGCCATTTTGCAGCTGCATCTATATCTTTTTAAAATGAAATGCTATCCATAGGATAATTTGCAGCTGCGTCTATTTCTTTTTGAAATTAAACGCTACCCATCAGATTTTTTATGATCGCAATAAGCTTTGTATCATCTGCAAAATGCTAATTAAAACTTGTCATTACTAAATTATCATTAATAAATTATTATCAATAATAATTATAACAAGAAAAAGAAGTCCTAAAAACAAGAACCTTCAGATAACTACATAGCAACAATCAAAACAGTAACTACTCATCACTACTCTCTGCTTCCTTCCTTTAATGAATGAGCTACATCATTTTAGAAGATTGACTTTGATACATATACTTCAAGTTTTATGATAAGAGCATCATGTGGTACTAAATCAAAGGCTTTGACTAGATCAAGGAATACCGTATCAATTAAAGTAACAAAATTTAGCAATTTGTGTTCCCCAATAGAATTTCTTCCCATTGTTAACACCGTATTTCTTTTTAGTTGGCCTCCTGTCTATGTTGAATATGACATTTGGAAGGTTAGTTGCACAGATTCCTTTCAGCTCGCAGTTGAAAGCTCTCAAGAAATCTCTTTGCTTTGGTTTGATCAATATGAATGTACACTTTGGTTTGATAAATACGAATGTTTTTATGACTTATAAGTTTTTTAGAGTTTGCTGAGATGAAGTTTTAAATCCTACAAAAATCATTTTGAGTAATTTTGGTGCTGTTTGAGCAGAACTTTTGAGTTTCTTCTTATTTTTCTTTTTTTTATTCTTCTTATTTATTTATTTTTTATTCTTCTTTTTTTCTTTTTTTTATTCTTCTTATTTTTCTTTTTTTTATTCTTCTTATTTTTCTTTTTTTTATTCTTCTTATTTTTCTTTGACTTTTTACTAATCATTTCTAGTCAAAACAAAAAGAACTTCAATTTTTATCCACTTCAGCTGCGACATGAGTACCATTGTCTTGATCATTTTTTGGGATACAGTTTATTATTACATTGTTTTCAATATTGAAGTTTTATTAGTTGTTTGTTTTTTAAATGGTTTTTTACTTAAATAACAAGTGTATATATAACCCCTAGAAATGTATTATATAAAAATAATTATTTAATAATGATCAAGTTAATTTACCATTAACAGAACTTTCTAATTTAGTTTTATTACAAACTTATCTAAGTTGTTAACATTCAAAAAATAAATTGCAATGATTTTCTTTACAAAGGTTTGGGTAAAAAAGTCATTTTTTGTTTACAGAATTAATAAATAATCACATCGAATATAAACTTTGAGTCTTGTACTTTGGCTAAATTAATTTAATTTGCAGTTAATTTGAACAGACACAATTTGCAGTTAATTTGAACGGGCACAAATCGTTTAACTATAATGCAAAATAAATTAATTTTTAAGAAACCAATTATTAAAAATAATACAAATGCATATTTTTTTTACAAAGGTATATTTTTTTCTACTGTAATATTTATTATTTAATAACTTAAACATCTTGAAGTTTTGAACATCTTGACAAAATCAAAAACTAACCTTTACTGTCTCTGTGAGCTGATTAAGCTCGTACTCTAATTTTTGCAACTTTTTAATATTATTCTCAATTTCTGATTGAAGGCCAATCCTCCATTCACGCTCAATTTTCAAATCAGTTTGAAGTATTTGTCTAAAATTTGTAAAAAAACAAAAATATTTTTTGATTTAACTGTAATAAATCAAAAAATTGTAACTAAAACTATTATTTTATAAAAAAAAGGAAAGAAATGAGGGTTATACAAATATGTGTAAAACATAAATGTGTTAAACTCAAAACACAACTGTTTAAAAACACAGCAATATGATAAAGAAAACTTTTTTAATATTTAAGATATGGGATATGGATGACATATCCTATACCTTATATATTAAAAAAGTTTTTTTAATTTAATATATGGGTTATGGATGACATAAATTATGCATAACAAAATATGCATAAAAGACAACTATGTTATATCACATAATTACTTGTCTCTATAATGTGCTGCAATGAAATACAAAATCAACATGTATTATATTTGTATAACATATTTTAATGTAAAAAAATATCAAACAACTCATATCTTTAGACACCATCTCTATTCTTTATTCAACCAAGGCTCTTGGTTGAGTAAAGATGGTATTTTAAGTCAAAATTTAATACTCCTAGATTTTACCTGGAAAAGTGAATCTTACAAGGCAGATGGACGTGGGGCAGTTTGTACTGGATTATATTATTATTAGCAGGACAATCCTGATGATCCTGCACAAGACCTGACCTGTTATTTTAAATCACCAAAATATTTGAACCATTTAAATTTGGGAGCTCAAATTTTATATTTTTTCATATTTCCTTGACAAATATAAACTAAATATTTGAGAAAATGAAATAAAAATTTTAAACTTTTATTTTTGATTTTACAGAAAATTAACCTATTAAATCAGTACTAAATGAATAGAGAATCTGTAAAGTTATGTTTTTGTATTTTTTCAAAGAAATAGTTGATGCTTTTAGAACACATAATACATTTAAAATAAAGATGAGAATAATTATAAAAGTGCATAGATTTTTTTTATTTTTAAATTTTTATTATATTCAATTCTAAACAAATTTCAATAAAATCATTTGCATAGTAATAATCAAACCTCTCATTTTGAAATTTTGTATTATTATTTAAAACTTTTTCTTCTTCTTGTTTTTTAATTTGCTCTACTTCCGATAAACTAAAACATATTTACATTATTATATAATAATGTAATATGTGTATAACAACTATACACATAATACAAAAAAAAAAAAAAAAAAAAAAAAAAACATTTTATAAAAACAATAATATTCAAGACATAATTAAGATACACAATAGTTATTTATAAAATTAAACTAATAAAATAAAGATGGTACTTTTTTTCCATTTCTTTTACTTGAGAAATTGAATTGTTAAGTTTCATTTCCAAGGAAGCATATTCTGATTCATTCTTCTTAAGCAAAGTTTCACTTGTCTATCATAATTTATAAAAATTTAAAACAATATTAATGATAAAAAAGTATTTTTTTTTTTAAAAAAGCTTTTAAAAAATACTTTTAAATCTTTGTTTAAGCAATAATTATTTAAAGATAATAATAAAAATAATAATAAAATAATGTTACAAACAATAGTTATATAAAAGCAAAAACAATGTTATAATATCCTACCTGCCACTTTTTATGCATTTCTAGATTAATTTTTTTTATGTCTTCTAATTGTCGTCTCAATGAAGTTATAATTTCTTGTTTATCATTGATATCCTTCTCAAGCAGTTCCATTGCCAACTTTTTTTAACAAAAGAAAACTATTTCAAAATTTGAAAAAAATTGTTATCATAAACCATGATCATAATGATGATGTTATACCATCATCTCGATCAACATCATCATCATCATCGTCATCATCATCGTCATCATCATCATCATCATCATCATCATCATCATCATCATCGTCATCATCATCATCATCATCATCATCACCATCATCATCAACATCATCATCATCATCATCATCATCATCATCATCATCATCATCATCATCATCATTGTCATCATCATCATCATTGTCATCATCATCAACATCATCATCATCATCATCATCATCATTATCATCATCATTATCATCATCATAATAATCATCATCATCATCGTCATTGTCATCATCATCATCATAAAATGTTTTTTTTTAGAACCTCTTGTTTTCATTTTCAGAAAGAAAATGAAACAGTGAGGTTGCTCTTTCTGAAAATGAAACAGTGAGGTTGCTCTTTCTGAAAATGAAACAGTGAGGTTGCTCTTTCTGAAAATGAAACAGTGAGGTTGCTCTTTCTGAAAATGAAACAGTGAGGTTGCTCTTTCTGAAAATGAAAGTGCAATAAGGTCATGATTTTTAATAAACTTTTTGCATTTTACCTTACTGTAAGTAACTTTTAATAATCATGGGACCAAGTCTCTATTTTTTACAAATATTTAAAAACAATGCTTTAGTTACTGACATAAGTGATCATATACAAAATGTGTTTCAATAGAAAGTGGTTCCAAAATTATTTACCTTTTTAATACTTTAGTTTATCTATGTAACATCTAACATATACACCAACTATTAGTTTTTAATGTACATTAATCTTACATTATGTACAACCGTTTAATCTTACATTATGCACAACCGTTTAATCTTACATTATGTACAACTGTTTAATCTTACATTATGTACAACTGTTTAATCTCACATTATGTACAACCGCTTAATCTTACATTATGTACAACTGTTTAATCTTACATTAAGTACAACCATTTGAAGACATTAGTTTGAAACTTAAAAGGGAGAGTACAGGATGAAGCATTTTGATAAACTTTAAAAATTTTTATTGTTCAACCTTTCTAAAGCTAGAACTTATATTTTATTAATCTAGCAAGTTGCAGTCCAAATAAATATTTAGCTATAAAAAGCTTATAAAACCTATGTTTATTCTTGTAAAAAAATGTATTGTTTTTCAAACATTTCCACCAACCAAAATTAACATAAAAATATTTTTATTTTTTTATTGAGCCAATAATGGTGAACTATTTCTTTGTTCATACAATTAAAAAAAATAAATACAAAGAAAACTCACTCACACACAAAAAATTTATACGAATAGACAAGGACCTTACTTTCTGGCTTTAAATTGAAAAATATTTAATTTAATACATTTTTATAATGGTTTAAACTATTTGTTTAAACCCAATGCAAACCCAATTAATAATAAAAATATTAATTAAACTAACTGTTATATTTCATTAAATTTATATGTAATTAGTTTACTCAATGTAATTTTTTATTGCATGGATTTAACTTTTAAAATATATTTTAGTGTTACAACTTTTTTTGGTAGCTATGGCTACAAAACTTTTTTGGTAACTATGGCTACAAAACTCATTCTATGATCCCTGGCTTCTTAAAATTTTCCTGATTTTTTTGTTTTCATATTATGGCAACAATTATTTTTATTTTATTAGTAAGGAAATACTCCCCTGCTAGCATGAATGCAGCTTAACAACTAAATCATATACTAAATTGTTTACTTTGATGTTGTGTCTTCTTTTTATATTTTGTTATTTATATGTAAATTTTATATGTAAATTTTTTTATGTAAATTTTTTTTATGTGAAAATTGCTTTTTTTTTTTTTTTCTTAACATAAAACTAGTTATTTATGATAAGTACCCACAGTAAACACATTTTATGTTAACACCACACAGGTGACACATGACAGGAAGATTCAAGAATTCCAGGGTGTAAGGATCAAGTCCCTAGAACATACAAGACTGTTCTTGGATTAAATTTCTGTATACCAACTAGCAACTCTCATCTATACACACTTTTTTGACATAAAGTCAAGGTAATGAAATTATTAATTGAAACATAATTAAAATTTGATATTTCTTCAAATATAAAAATAAACATTTGCTATAAAAAGTGAAATATATAAAAAAAGGATTTTAAGGTGTATCATAAAAAAATAATTTTATATTTGTACCATTTTTTCTTTGTTCATGGCAATGTGATCATTCATCATAATCTCTAGCTCCTAATAAAAAAAAATTAAAAAAAGAAATGATATAAAAACAACATAAAAATGTAGAGATGTGTTTTAGGTTCTTATCCTGTTAAAATGTTCAGCACAAAAGTATCTTATCATTATAGAAAATATTAATGATTAAAAAACTTTTTTATTAATTATACTTTTATTTACCACTAAAGTTATAATTTCATTTTAATACCTTTTTCTCTAAAGTAACTCTGTCCAAATCAGCTTGCACTTTTAAGTACATTTCATTCAGACCAGCTCGAGATTGCTGGTGGGTTTCTCTTTCAACATCAAAATCTGAAGTCACAGTCTAAAACGTATTTTAAAATATTTACAGCATAAAACAATTATTATTATATTTAAGAAAGTTTAAAAAATAGTAAAAGCTTAGTAAAAGCTGCTCAAAAAGTTGAGAGTTTGATTCCCACCATATCCCTGGTAGTTAAGAGTTAATAGTTTGTTGCAACCACAAAAAAAGTAGCCTCCTTGACTCTAGTGGCCCTCTTGGCCTTAGGGGGGTGAATAACATAAAAAAATTCATATTCATTGTGTTGGTTGATTTATAGCAATATGTCATTAACTATGATGATAGTTGTGTTTATTCATGTAATGTGTAATGCCATACATATTGACATGTGTAAAACAAGATTCAAGTATACAAAAAAAAATTATATTGTATAGATGCAATTACTTTATCATCTATCATCATTACATCATATGTATTAACTTTAGCCTTAAAGATGAATTAGTAAACTATTATACAATTCAGCTTTTAGCTTCATAGAAACAAGGTAAGAGAATTAAAATATTAAAGTTATTTATACAAATTATTGTAAAAATATATAAAAAATTGTAAAAGAAATATCTTTTTTTTTTGTTGAAAATGTATACACAATTATAAAATACAACCATTGACAGTGTTTTGACATTCTACTTTATTTTGTGAAGCCTTGAAAATACTTAATTCTCTAAGTTTTTTTTCTAACTTCAATAACTTGAAACTTAAAAAAAAATACTTGAATGTCACGCAACTTTTATGGAGTCGTAATTAGATTTCTCCATCAAATTAATGTAATTAAAATTAGAGTTGTTATTTGACATCACTAGAAATACTTGAATGTCACGCAACTTCGTCGTAATTAGATTTCTCCATCAAATTAATGTAATTAAAATTAGAGTTGTTATTTGACATCACTAGAAATACTTGAATGTCACGCAACTTCGTCGTAATTAGATTTCTCCATCAAATTAATGTAATTAAAATTAGAAATGTTTCACTAAATCACTAGAAATGTTTTAAGTAACTACTCTGATTTTTTAATTTAAACATTTTTCAGCGAATAAATAAATAAAGAAAATACTATTACTAATAATTAGGGTAATCACTAAAAACAATGTTTCTTACAACCGCTTATCAAAATTAAACAAGAAAACTTATTTTATTGCTTTTAATGAGTAACCATTTATTTTATTTATTTACTGCTTCTATTTATTTACTGCTCTGTTTTTAGTTCTGTAATACAACTACTTTTTTGCACTCATTTTCTAAATCAGTTCGTTTTATTTTTGTAGTTATAACTAGTGCTGTATAACTTAACTATTTGGATTACAAAAAAAGTAAATCTTCAAAACATAAATATATAATAAATATTTCTAGATAAAATGATTTACCTTTATAGTCTGATTATGATCTAACAAGAGCTTCTCATAATCATATTTGTATTTATCTCGTTCTGCAATGGAAGCAAGCAATTGATTTTTCAATAAGTCAACCTTAAAAAAAAAAGCTAAACAACTTTTGTATTGCAATAAGATTATAACTTATGTATCAACTCATCTAATGAACTAAAATGTTTACAACCCATATAAATAATGATTACGATATATTTTATAGAATAGATAATTCGATTACAATATTTTTTTAAAAATAATGTAAAATAAAGCTTAACAATTTTTTATAGTATAACACTACCAGAACGCTAAACAAAGAATAAAATAAGTTATATAAATAAAAGATAAGTTATATAAATAAAAAATAAGTTATATAAATAAAATAGAAGTTATATAAATAAAATATTTACAAAAAGTGGCTGAATATTGATTTAGTGAAAGTAAATTTTTTTGCGCAAAAAAATTTACTTTCACTAAATAAATTTAAAACCAAAACATTAATTGCTTATTATGCTTTAAAATGTTATTACTATTTTATTCAAGTAAAAAAATATTTACTTAAAGTTTTAAATATGCTTTGTACATTATAAGTAACATTGCAATGAAATCATAAATAACTGATGATCATAAATGATGATGAAAATGTGAGTAGATTGTGTCTGGTGCATGGTTAATGGTCATCGCCGGTCAATAGTGTTGAACATAAATAAATGGCAAATATAAATATAAAGCAAGATAGTTATCAATCAAAGTTATTGTGGACATTACTATTTGCTTTTTACATACACTTCCAAATATTGCTTAAGTATAACAAAAATATTAATTTGAAAATCGTTATCATGAACAGGTGTATTGTGTAAATGATGTAATGTTTTTCTCGTTATTATATCCAAAAAGTTTAATTGAATCAATAATGAACTTTTATTTCAATGCAAATTAAGAAAATGTTGCACTTGGAAAACTTGTTTAGACTTTATATTTTAAAGACTCTTGTTAAAAATAAATCTTAAAAAAAATTGTTACCCATGACAACTTTTGTTTGTTTATTGAGGTAATTTTATAAGCAGTTTTTTTATAAGATAGCTAGGATGTTTTTTGTGAGCAACATAGAATGTTTTTGTTAGCTACTTAGAATGCTTTTTGTTTTAGCTAGTTAGATTGTTAGTTTAACTTTCTAACGCAAACTTAAAAGCAAATTTTATTTTTACTTTTTTTTGTGGAAATCAAGACCTGTTGTGCTATTGAAAAGTTTTTAGTTATAATTACTTTGTCAAGAAACAGTTTTATTATTCTATACTGCTATGCTTTTATAGAAATTTTTCATTAAAAATTTTTCAAAAAAAAAAAAATTTGCATTTCATTAACAGAGTAGCCTGAAAACTAATGACATAAGACATAATTCTCCATAACAATATATTCCATGTTTAACATGTCATAACAATATATTCCATGTTTAACACATCATTTAAACTCAAAATGCTGTTGGTTCAGAAAATATTGAACTGTTTCTTCTATCTCAGATTTAAAAAAAAAAAAATTACAATGGTTTTAATTCTTTTATCATCAAAAGTTATTTAATTCTTTTACTATTATATACTAATTTTAATTAGAATTTTCACACCGATGACCTTATGTATAAAATTTTCCTCACGATAAACATTTCCTTATATAAAACTAACTTCTAAATTGAACTGTAACATGCAGACATATGGCCAATGTTTGCTGAAATAATAAAGTAAAATCTTAAAAAATGAAAGATGCAAAAATGCAAAGACTTATATAATAATCTTATATAATAATCAAAAACTAATTAAAACTCTTTTCAAAAAACATTTTGTTGGTATCTTACCAAGGATTAGATTATGACCATCTGTTGCTATCTTACCAAGGATTAGATAATGCCCATCTGTTGCTATCTCACCAAGGATTAGATAATGAACATTTTTCATTATCTTAGCAAACACTGAAGGATGACATTTTGCGTGTCACCATTTGTATTAGAAATTAGACAGAAAAAGTTTATCTGCAGTTTAAACTTTTTAAATGATTTCAAAAATATCTGGATATTAGCAAATTCCATACAAATGCTGAGTCTGGCCTAGACACAAATAGGTTAAGTAGGTTAACTTCCTGGTTAAATGCTCTTCTTCCACAGTTCTCTGTGACAACGGTGACGGTGTTTATTATAAAGTGTGACGGTGTTTGTTCCTCTTGGAGCATCTTAATAACTAAAAAAAAAAATACCAAAATCTTCATAAAATCCCAAGACTCCAGACTCTAAACAAACAGTTTAGACTCAGGATAAAAAACGGACTCAAAACTCCAACTCCTGTCCCTGATCTGATTTTGACTTTCATAAACGTCAAATAATCAAACAAACTTATTTGTATATTACTTCTTGAGCACATCAGTACAATTAATCCAATATAAGCACACTTCACATGTAGCTATAACTTTTGTAACCATATAAACACTTTACTGTTCAAAAATATTTAGAGTCAATCAAAAACTTAGCAATGCTTTGCCTGTCATTGTTTTTTTTTTAATGAAAGCGCTTTGGAATATAAACATAGCATACAAGAGAACAAATACATTAATATAATAATACTTTATTTTATTAAAATATTGATTTTTTTCTTAAAAAAAAAAATTAACAAAAAAGCTTATAATCAAGTATAAGTAAAGTTAAATAAATACCTCTTTAGTAATCACTGTTTCACGCTCAATAAAATCCTTTGTTTGCTGCTTTAAAATAGTGTTTGAATCACTAAAAAAAAAATTTTCATAAAAAGTTCTGCTACCACTAATAACTAAAATGAGTCAAATGTTACGTATTTAAAGATTGACACTTTAATCTTACTTGAGAGTTTTATTTATTTGCTCCAAATATGCTTTTTGATCTAGAATAACATCTAACTTTGGACCATCAGTAGAATCCAAACCTCTTTAAAAAAAAAAGCATCTTATTTTTAACATCTAACTTTGGACCATCAGTAGAATCTAAACCTTTTTAAAAAAAAAGCATCTTATTTTTAACATCTAACTTTGGACCATCAGTAGAATCTAAACCTCTTTAAAAAAAAAAAGCATCTTATTTTTAACATCTAACTTTGGACCATCAGTAGAATCTAAACCTTTTTAAAAAAAAAGCATCTTATTTTTAACATCTAACTTTGGACCATCAGTAGAATCTAAACCTCTTTAAAAAAAAAAAGGCATCTTATTTTTAACTTACTTTTACATTTATTTTACTATAATTTGATTTTTATTAAAAACAGAAAAAACCCTTTATATTAGCCTGATTAGTTTGGCTTATCCTTTATCCTTATTATCCTTATTAGTTTGGCAACAAACAAAAAGTCTGCTCAAAGAAGTCTGACTATCAAGCTTATCAGCAATAGAAAAGAAAAGACTTGATCAAGGTAACAAAATTCTTGTATTGAGCAAAATAACTTGAACACCAAATTTATTAAAGCTTGTTTTTCAAACTGGATCAATGATTGAACAATCATAAGGTAATTTTTCAAATTGAAAATTGTAAAATTTCAGGTAAAGAGGTAACTTATCAAGTAATATTCTTAATAATTTAAACA